CCTACCTACCTACCTACCTACCTATATATACTGTACCCTTTGTCTCTCTATTTGTTTTAGCTTTATTGCATTCTTGTGGGATAAAGGAGGCCCTGGAAATAGATTTTTGGGAGTGACGAAAATCTTTTCCCCTTTCTTTCCTCCCCTTTCCCCAGGACATGTGTCAAGTTCTCTCTTGCCACACCAATTCGGCCAACCCGTCCTCCTGCTCTCGGCTCCACGTCCCGCTTCTGGATGGAACCGAATGCGGGATCAACAGGGTAAAATCAGATTCTTCTGGGTGGCGCAAGGGTCATTTGTGCACCCCAGCTTTGGATCCAGCCAGGAGATCTGACTCTTTCCCCTTCCAGACGCTCCTCTAAAGGAATACACAGCCATTTTGAAAGGTAGAGCTCTTTCGTCATAAACCGTAGTTCTGTCACAATCTTTTCTTTCCCCCAGTGGTGTTTCAAAGGACGCTGCAGCTCCCTAGAAGATCTGTCTCCGGTTAGCATGGTGCATGGGCAGTGGTCCTCCTGGGGATCCTTCACTCCCTGTTCCAGGAGCTGTGGAGGAGGGGTCACGTCAAGACAACGACAGTGCAACAACCCCCGGTAAATAAGGCCTCGATCTTCCCAATTATGACACCCATGCTTAAGTGGCATGGATCAAGGGTTAGAGTTAAGAGTGTGCCCTACTAAAGGGTAAAGGTAAAAATTCCCCTCCTTGCACATCCCTGCTAGTTGTTTCCGGCTCTAGGGGGCGCTGCTCATCTCCGTTACAAAGCCGAAGAGCCAGCGCTGTCCGAAGACGTCTCCGTGGTCCTGTGGCCGGCAGGACTAAACGCCTTCGAAGGCGCATGAACGCTGTTCCCTTCCCACCAAAGGGGACCCTATTTTTCTACTTGCATTTTTTACCTGCTTTCAAACTGTTAGGTTGGCAGAAGTTGCTGGGATAAGGAACGGGAGCTCACTCCGTGACGCGGCGCTAGAGTTTCGAACCGCTCAACTGCTGACTTTTCTGATCAGCAAGCTCAGCGTCTTAGCCATTGAGCTGCTGCGTCCCAATAGATGTTGCTGAACTATAGTTCCCAACCGACCCAGTGGTGAGGAATCCTGGGAAATGTAGCTCGGCAACGTCTACGCCTGGGCTTTCGTTTATTTATTTACGGAGTCAAATCGTCACGAATTAACAATGCAGACGGGGCACTGCATCGTAGACACGCCAGTTGCCAGAGCGCCTGCATTTTGATCGTGTGGCCACGAGGATGCTGCAGCGGTCGTACCTGTAGAGGACCGGTCACAAACGGCTTTCGTCGGTACCGTTGTTAAATTCGAATGGCCACGAATTGAACATTTGTGAACCTGAGGGCTGCTGGCACGAAGTCAGGCAAAATAAGATGTCAACTCACAAAACATTTGTGTGCCTGTTTGAGGGTTGCCATGAATAGAGAAAGCGGCGGAGAAGAAATTTGAAAGAGCAATGCAGCCGTTTGGAACTGAAAGCGCGTTCCATTCATATCTTGCCAAGATTGTAACTAAGCTACTGGAATTTCTGCCGCGCAAATCTCTAATTGGAGAACGTGATTGATGACTCTGGGCTATGAACGTGTTTCGTTGGAGAAGATGAATTATGACACACCCAGAGGGGGGGAGGGGGTTGGGGTGGAAACCAGGGTCAAGGGTGACAGTGAATTATGCGTCTCAGAATCGGCTTCGTACAAGCCAAGCGGACATGTTCGCTCCTAATAAATCCTTTGAAGATTTGGAAGCTGGGCTTGAGGCTGCTGATTTAATTAGGGCAACTGCCGGAATCCCTGACATAAGAACAGCAATTTTAAACAACAACAAAAATGGTTGCAGAGGAAAAGTTATCAGAGCCCTCCGAATCTTGCGGAGAAACAACCGTTCCAGAGGTCAGGCGCGTCTCGCTTCAGAAATTCTTTTTCTTTTCAGACCTGCTTTTGGAGGGCAACCATGCCAGGGAGAAACCTTGCAAGCCGAGATGTGTAACGTGCAGGTAGGTGGACGTCGGATTCCAAAGAAATCCAGTTCTGAAGAAGGAACCGGGTGGGGGGGTGGGGGGGGGTGCCTGTCGACGCCCCGATTGCCTTGCAGGGTTTCCCTTGCATGTGAGAATGCGTTTGCAACCTTAGCTTTGAAGGAGCGTTAAGGTCTGGAGGTAGAGTGTGTTGGGAAGCCACCTGCCCCATTGGCCGTTCGCCCTTCTTCTCTCTCGAGGAAGGCTCCAAAACCTACTGGAAGGCGCGTGGGAAATGACCAGGGGTGACACATCGGGGAAAAGATGGTAACAAAGATTCAGCCCATCTTCTCATTTGCTCATGATCTCTCCCCCAAATTTGCGTGTTCATTCACGCTATCTTGGCAAGTGCACATTTGCAGCGGTGGCAACCCAGCGTTAGACGCTTCCACTTGGAAAACCTGCAGGCCTTGCCAGAAGTTCTTGAGGAGGACTATCCCCTCAAAAGCAAAGTCCAACTCTCTCTCTCTTCGGGAGGGGAAACGGTGAGCGTACGGCGCTGAGCTCCTGCCTTCTCTTCTCCCGAAGCCCTGCTTGAAGACCCAGATGGACTTCATGGAGGAGCAATGTTCAGCCACCAACCTGAAGCCGCTCTACCTTCACCGGCAGTTGCCTTCCTTCTACAAGTGGGTTTCAGCAGCTGGCTACGCCAAAGGTAAATTGCTTTGGGTGGCCAACCGGGGAGGGGCCAGGGTTGAAAAACCACACCTAGCCTGGAGAAAGGAAAGGGAGGGAGGTTTTCCCCCTCTTTCGGAGAGCGAGGACCGCTGGACTGGGAAGAGACGGGGATGGTTACTAAGTTGGGACGGTTGTGAAAGGGGGTTGGATAAATTCACGGAGGACACAAGTCTGTGGAAGGTCTAATGGCCCAGAGCGACTTAGAACTTTGGGTCTGGTGTAGCAGCAAATTTATTTCTAAGGGTCAGGTTGCACAAAAAACATCTTCCTCCTCCTCCTCCTCCTCTTCTTCCTCCTCCCCCCCCCCTCTTCTCCCTCCTCCCCCTCCCCTTCCTCTCCTTCTTCTCCTGCAGCTGCTCTTCTTTCTCCTTCCTCTCCTCCTCCTCCTCTTCTTTCTTCTTCTTCCTCTTC